TGGGAGACAAATGAAAGCAAGTTGGAGACAAGCCAGCCGGGAACCCGACCACAAGCAACAGCCTGGGAGACAAATGAGACAAATGAAAAGAACTGGGAGACAAATGAAAGCAAGTTGGAGTCCAGCACCAAGGCGACCATTCTTTAAAGCATTGAGAACCCCTAACAGTAAACTGTTTGGGGAATGAAAAGAACTGGGAGACAAATGAAAGGAAGTGGGAGACAAGCCAGCCAGGAACCCGACCACAAGCACTCAGCTTGGGAGACAAATGAAAAGCACTGGGGAGACAAATGAAAGCAAGTGGGAGACAAGCCAGCCGGGAACCCGAGACAAATGAAAAGAACTGGGAGACAAATGAAAGCAAGTTGGAGACAAGCCAGCCGGGAACCCGACCAGACCATCCAGCACCAAGGCGACCATTCTTTAAAGCATTGAGAACCCCGTAACAGTAAACTGTTTGGGGAAAAAGTGCGCACGCAAGGAAGCGCAATCATTTCGGCTTAGCTAGCTACTTTCGTCTGGTTTTTGTTGTTCTTGTTGTTGGGCAAGCTCCATTTCCCGGTTGCCTTGTGGACACCTTTAGTGAAACGGTAGCCACTGGTTGAATAAGGCACCACTACAAGTCAGTTTTGAAATGCTTGGTGAAGAGCAGGGGATGGTTTTTTAAAGACACCGGCGTGGACGTCCGAACCGAGGAGGATTGATGGACCTCATGCAATAAGTGCGCGCAAAGTTCGAACGGATAGTTTTGGAGGAAAAAGAAGGATGCTTGATAACTTCTGCCAACGAGGATGGCTGATGGCTATGACCAGGTATTTTCTGTGATTGGATCGCACTTTTGTATCGGTGATTGGAGAATCAGTGTTTACTTTCATGATTATGTGATATTAGTTTTGGGCCGCTCTTTATCAATGTTCGAAAAATAGATTTTAATCGTCACTACATCGGCGTCTCCTTCAAGCAAGATCTCCAGACCTCTTGAAGGCTTAGCCAGCGGTTTCCCCCAAAAAATCGAGAAGGGTTGGTAATGGATAGTGGAAATGGCTGGAAAATGAGCTACTTCAACTGGCTGGTGCCTTTGGGGGTTGCCATCTCCGGTGATGCGTCACCCAGGAATCATGGTGCTTTCGCAGGGCCAGATAGTCGAGCTTGATTCTCCAGAGGCCCTCCGAGTGCAGGACTGTTTGGGCTGTTGGGATCTTCGAGTCGAACACGCTTGGACCATTCAACCTGGTCTTGCGTGCGCAGCCTCGCTTGTTCTTACCACTAGGGTTCCTTTTAGAGTTCGAACCAGCCTCGTTCAGCCTGGTCTTAGTCTTCCACGGTAACCACGTCGGGGAGGTTGTGTCCTTCGTTGTCCTGGTTCTCCTGCTGGTCTGTAGCGGCCGACCCGGGGAACCTGGAAACACCGTTCAATCGACCCATAACCCCATGAGCCACATCAATATCGTTAATGCAGGAGGGCGGCATCTTCCGGGGAATGCTGGAGTCCGCAGAGGAGTAGCGCTGCACCATGCGTGACGATTACGAGGGGTGTGACATTCAATGAGTACGTGATACAGCGAGAGATCTATCAAACGCCCAACACATGTCCAGATGTACTGTCCTTTTTGTGTTGGCTGTTGTTTCGTTTTTATTTGGCTGTGTATGAACATAGGGAGACCTCCTAAAGACGCTGTTTGGGGAGTTTCAACACTACATCTTCCATTTTCCATGAATCAAACAGAAAGAGATTGAAGGAGGACCCAGTACCCATTGGTGTAGGGTGATCTCCAATCATTTCTTTTGATGACCGACTTATAGTTTTAAGCTTTTCACCACCGACCAAAGCTCGTCGTGTTGGTCAAAGCTCCTGCTGGGTGCCAGAGGGGCCAACGAAGTGACCGGGCATGTCTGCAGCGGTTGTTTCAAAACTTCCATCTTCATGGCTCCGAGCGAGAAATGACATGTATGGAAGTGAAGAAACCCCATTTTGTAGAGGAAGATCATGGAATCTCATCTTTCAATGAGAAGAAACCATCCACTTCCATGCTTCTTGGATAGAGGGTCTGATTCTCCCACAGACAACTGGGGCGTCCTGGGTGTCCATGGTGAGGTTTCACACCCTTCAGGTGTTCAGACCCCGTGGAGCCGTCGATGGATGGGTCCACGCTACCAGAAAACATATCTTTTGGTGTTGGAATGTGTTGGGAGGGCACTTCTGTGCAGACAAGCCTGGTCAGCTGTGCAGACCTTGGCCTGGACAGACTGGTGGCAGGGTGCACCCAAATAGATGGGGGTGTGTCAAATGGGTTGGGATGGGCGCGTTTTGGCTTCCAAGATGGGTTTGAAGGTATTATTCGAACATCCTTGTTCTCCAACCCAGGGACCTCAAATCTCCTGCCAGGGATCATCCAAGATGGTACCAGGGTGACCCACCTCTAGTGGCAGGGTCGATTTGAAGACCCACCAGGTCGACGTCCGTCGACGGCCGCAGGTCGATCCTTTCTTGGTTTGACCGGACCCAGGTCGTCCGTCCCTCCCCCGTCCGCTTGGGGCTTCCCCCCGCTGCCGTTTCCTTCCCTCTCCGGCACTGGGCACCGGACGAGTTCCGTCCGGACGTCCCGGAGGAACAGAATCACTCGAAACTGTTCCCATGATCACGACATCATGTGGGGAAGGGTCAAAAACCCGGAACACCTACTCCCTGGTAGGTTGACCTGACGTCGGGACCATGGGAAGGGCCAGACTGGATGCGCAAGTGACGTCGGTAGGTCAACCAAGGTCTCCTGGTTTTGACCCACAGCCATGTGGGTGCCCCTTCTCCCTCGAACCGACTGAAGAGTCGCCCACTTCTCCCGAAAAGATTCAATACAGAATTGGATCCACCGACCAGGTCGGAAGTGGGGTGTGGCTTTAACAGACGCTGCAGGGTGAACTAGACTCGTCCGACCTGCCACATGTTTGGATGACCATAGACGCCTCAGATCTTCGTGATGCTGATGCTTCCAGCTCTGACAGTCAAATGCAGAAGGAAGACCACGTTTTCCCACACCACGTGAGAGAGAGAGAGAGAGACTGTAGATCGGATTTTCTTTCCGTCATCACCTTGCAGCTCGCCGGACCTGGCAGCTGGAGTGGAAGTTTCACCTTCACACTGATCCAGATCCATCCAGAACTTCACTGCGCCATCTCCGCCATCTCCGCCGCCTTCGCACGGTGCCATGGAGCCCGGTGGAGCGCCAGCGCCTCCTCCAGGAGGCCGCGCCGCGGGCAAGGGCAGAGGTGGAGAGGTTGGGAGGATGCCAAGCAGTGGCCGGAGCTGTTTGTATTCAAACAGTTTTTAGGGCGTTTTGGCTTAGAATTTCACGGAATAGATGGAAGAGGGAACAGATGGAATCAGGACGGAATGGAAGTGGTTGGCTTCGGTGTTTTTGGGCATCGGTCTTCACAGCCGGCCAGCAGCCGCGGCCCTAACTGCCCTGCCATCCTCACTGCCCTAACCGCCCCTGGAAATGCCGAAGAGCGGAGGTCTGCTATGTGTTAAGACTCATTTCAAGCAGATCTTGGTTGAAAAACCCACTCATCAAGTGAGCTAATGTGGGATCGGGGGAAGGGTTGGCTTCCACCCACAAGAAGGAGACTCTACTGATTACTGACAGGTGTGGAAAACCAGCAACCTATCAATGATAGAACCTGGTAACAGGGTTCGATTGATCTCCGGCGCCGCGATTGCCCAGCCGGGCATCTTTTGGCCTGCAGGATGGAAGCCTTTGGTGGCAAAAAAGGTCGGGAACTGCTGGGAGATGTTGGCAGCGAGGCAGTCGGCAGTAGACTCTTGATGATATTTCAACTTCCCAAGCCTGAAGAAGTTTTAAATTCCATCCATTTCTGGAGGGGGTTAATTCATCCATTCATCAAGAGTCTACCTCAGGCTCTTCGATCCCTTCGTCCAAGAACCTCCTTGAAGGGCTACTATCTTTTCCTGGAGCAGGACTTCAGAATTTATCCACGTCCAGATTTAAACTTAACCACGTCCAAGATTGCTTTGGGAAGGGTCGATTCACCTTGGAGCCCTTTGATTGCATCTAATTGGAGAAGCATGTATCAACTCCAAGAGTTTGGACGTTGTTTGGCCTTGAACATGTATCATATCCAGCTGACTACATCTTCACAGTGTCATACTTTTCCACCTGCAAGGTGCACCTTTGCTTCCTCTGTTTCCGATCTCGATGTTGTGAGAAAGGCTTCGGAGGGCCGTTCTGCGGGTCACCCTTTGGCTCTGCACTCCTCACTACCGCCGAACCACCCAACTTGTCAGGCTCCCTGGGAGCATCGGCCTGCGCGGCAGGCGGGATGAGGTGATGGGCGAAAACCCAAGCGGCTGGCTGAGCCCAAGAGGCCGAGGCAACCCCTGGAAGAAGGGTTGGTGTCTAAGGTGTACGCGTACCTGCTGACACTGGCCACCTGCAGTGGCAGGTGCTAAACTGCAAAGGCCAAACATACTAATCCGGACAGGGATTCCGCTCTGTTTGGGTCGAAGGTCGATCACCCTTGACTGCAAGAGCGCACGGGCGGCGCACGGGCCGTTCGTGGGGCGCGAGAAGGAGACTGCACCCCGCTTCTTCTTGTCGCATGAGATGCATGAGCGGGTTGCAGCTAGTTCCTGCAGATGTTGGCAGAGGCCATTGAATCTACAGTGGTTGCAGAGTAGATGGCAGGCACCCCAGGAGATCCTAGACAGAAGGGGATCCAAAAAATGACCACGCTTTCTGAGCTGTCCGTTCTGCCTGGGGCAAGCAGGTCTTCCACCAGTCTGACACATCCAGCTGGATGAAGAGTCGGTTGTCTCGATGGGTCCATAGGTCGAGGCCTTAGGTGAGCCATGATGATGTATCACTCCCTGGCAATCTTCAAGTCTAAGCGCAGTGCACCACCTGTTGGGTGTTAGCAAAAGGTGATCCGGTGATCCAAGGTCTCATGCCAGGATGATTCCAGGGAGTGTTCACGCAAAAAGCCACCGGACGAACGAGCCAGGTGGCTCTTGAAGAGCGGTCAGCGGAGGAGGCGAGTCAGTGGGGATGGACACCGTTCGATGCCCCAGTCAGAAATCCCATGTCCTTCCACTAGGCAATCCTTCGTTTGGACCAGAACTAGGTACGGAAGGGCTGTCAACCGGGTTGTCCAACTCCAAACTCTTTTGGTCTCCGCCTGTGGCAGGAGAGGCAGCAAGAGAATGGAAGCTGGGATCGCATTATGCAGCTTTACCAGGACTCCAAGGCTTGGCTGGAACCCGTTTGGGGATGAGCTGCGACGGCTGCGCCGGCATCGGGCGTTGTTGGGTCCAACAGGCTCACCGAGCCGCCCGGGACCAAAGAAACCGTGGACCGAATGCCCTGCCAGGGCAGCAACTTCGACGAGGACAAGGACGTGATCGTTTATGACGTGGACTTCGATCTCCAGGTGCCTTGAACCTTCGTTCTTGGGAGGGGTCGAAGTCTGTCCTCTTTTGTTCCAGGTGGGTGTTTTCTTCACCTTTGCGACGGATAGACATGGGGGGAGGGAAACAATCTAGATGCTGTGAGTGAGTCACGGAGCTGACCAGAACGAATTCTGACCAACTCCCGCATGAATGGGCCTGTGCTGGTGGGCCCGATCGCTGAAGTTCGGGGATCGAGGGACTGGTCGAATCACATCGACCTTTGGCTCACTGGAGTCATCCGTAGTCATGATCCACCACAGGACATTGGGGGGTGAGTCCGGTTTCTCAGTCCTGACTGGAACGTTTATACGGTTTCCGAGTAGATGGGACCATTTCCCCAATGGGACGGGTGGTGTATCGGGACTCCCATCTTTTCCAGACCATGCCGTGGGGGTGCCAGTGCTACGTATCGAAGCTCTGAAGCCCGCTCTACTCGTCCTGCGAGCTTCGTCCCCCCGAGGGTGCCGGAGACTCGACGGGAGAGCGGGATGTCTGGAGCCTGGGACACCGACGAACGCAGAGCCTGCACAATGGCTCCAAGAAACGGGTAGGCCACATCCAAGGGGGGTGAACACCGAAACGGTGGACCATGCTCGCGTGGTGGCACTCCACCATGCTCGCGACTGCGCGGGTGTCCAGGTACCGTCGGTGCAACTGAAGGAGCTGGCAAGCTTGGAGGAACTCCGGGCAGAGCTCCAGAGGCTGGGTCGCTGGCGGGGATGCTGGCGGACGGCCGTCGGTGGATGGACTTTTGGGGGACGAAAACATCAAGGTTGTGCCGGTCCAGTTTTACAGTATGTGTGGCCGGGAAGGGGCTCCGAAGGGCCGAAAGCACTGGACGAGGGAACCGGCCCGTGGGCACCGGCCAGTGGTCAGAGCCAGACATTCAGCATGAATGTATGGTCGAGTTGGGTGTATCTCAAAGTCAACCTTTTTTTGGCCCAAAAGTCCGAACGAACTCCAGCAGGGAAGCGGCTGGAAGACGCTTCGCCGCATCCGTTCGCTTGTTGTTTTTTTGATGGTTTTTGGAGCTTTCACCACTGGTCGCAGCTGACTGGTGCATCAGAGTGCGCAGCATGCAGGACGCCAATGGCCACTCCACCATTTGCGAAGGCGTGTGGGGTGAAGACCCCTAACAACCTCATTGGGAGGGTCGAACAAATCATAAAGACCTGCGATTAGGGGGTCGTTGTTGGTTCGTTTCTAAGAGACGTTTCTCTATGAAGCGAAAAAAGACATGTGTGACATCAGTGGAAAGTGGGGGGGGCCCTTCCAGCATCTTCCAGCACTACTCTGGAGGAGTGGCCCGAATTGGTGTGAATTGGTGAGCTGTGTTGGGTTCTGGGATCATCCTTGAGATTTTTCTGCACAGCAAAGAGAGAATCTTCCCTGCCAGGGGTTTCACCACTCTTCCGTCTCCAAAAAGCTAACATAGAATCAGCAACTAAGCCGCTAACATCCGCTAATCATTACTACTCCATTTTGGTTTTCAGGCTTTTGTGTCATCAAGGACATTAACATTTGGAACACTGAAGAGTAGCATTAGCAGTTCCCTACTGAATGTGCAAATTGAACTGTTCCATGTGTTATCATGCTTTTTATCTACTTGACTTAAGGGTGCACTGTTGTTTCCTTTATTATTTTTTGTCTTTAAACAAACTGCACCGGACTGTAAACATACTGAAGCAAATCTTCTACAGGCCACACTACACGCACACAGTCAGTACACAAACATTTATATATATATATAAATAACGTATATATATGTATATATATATATCTATTACACATAACAATGGATCCCCTCCAAAAGCCATCGTTTGGAACAGCACGCCGGTCTTCCATGCAGGTTCCTTTTCCCCAAAACCCGACTCTTTTGGGTCCCAGCGGTCCTCACAGGTGGAGGATGGCCGGGGCAGGCCTGTCCCGATGGAAGTGTCGCGTGCGCGGAAGAGATGGAAAGGGTTTCAGGGACGCGAAGGACGAACTGGGTTGGTGACCATGGTGGAAGGGGGACTTCTTCGAGTTGATGTTGGGTTGGAACCGGCCGGGGAGGAGATGAAGTTCCTCCAACCTCCCCGCGCTTCCAGTCGACTCGAAAGCCGGCCAAGACTCGCGGGCGCTCCCTGCTTTGGATCTGGGAGCGATCTTAGGAGGGTTTTTCAATGAACCAACTACCAGGACCAGGACCTTCAAAGTGACCAAACTTGAGATGCCAAGGTCACTTGGGCCTGCAAAAGGTCAAATATAGAGACTCCAAAGAGGTCACTTGGAAGGTCCTGGCAGCAGTTTGTTTTTTTCCATTCTTTTGCACCGCTAAGAAAGACGTGGCTCTTCCCTCATCCCAACTCTTTGTGGCATGAGTGGCCCAAACACCAACGTGACTTCTTGAAGTGGAGGTTTCGTGGGATGTCCAGAACCAACCGCTGCGAAGTCTGATTGCAGTGATTTTGATTGGCAAGCAGCTCGGTACCGGAACATGGGTCAATTAATTTGGTTCTATCTTCAAGATGAGTTAGGTATCAATCTTTTTGATTTCTTCAAGCAGGATGTTCAGACTGGTGCTTCATTCCCTGCTAAGCACCCGTCAGTTTTGTTTTACTTTCGGTCGCATGGTCGAGTTTGCACGGAGGCCGCAGATCTGCATGTTGGGCCCACACACTTACAAGAAGCAGGTGAGTGGGGAGATCTGTGGCGGTGTAGCCACCGTGGGTTTGGAGTGTTTCGTTCCAATCCCAAGAGGTCTCGTTTTGGGAAATGGACTCCCACCCTTCAGATCCATCTGACGTGGCAGCGATGGGAATCACTGAGTGGGAACCCCCCAAAGCTCCGCGGGACGTGGAAAAAGGGGGGGCCGCGAATTAGTTGGTCGGCTTCCAAACCCATGGGAGACCTGTCCAGCAATGCTGGGAGTTTGGTTGATGGCTGATGCCTTTTCTTCGAGAGCTATCCAGAGCTACCTCAAAAACACGTGCTCAGCTCATGGACCAACCAAGGCTGGGTCAAACTCTGGTCTCCCTGGCAACCGGATGTCCCCGTAAGCGAGTGCTTGAGAAAGGGTAAGCAACTAAACATGGCCAAACCAATGAATGCATTCTCCATGGGGGAGTTGTCCTTCCCGAAGTTGCGCTGACACCAATTGTCAGGACCAACTGTGAGGGACGCTTCTTGGCATTTGTGGGAAGACAACACGTGTCCTAACCAGTGTACCAGGATGCCCTATTAGCCTACAGCATTAGTATGTCCTTTCCTGCATAGGTCAAAGATCCTGGAACTTGTGCCGCCTTTTCGCGGATGCGTAGCTGGTCATTTCTACAGCCGCTTGTTTGCCCGAGTCTTGATGGCCAATATGGTCGGAGTTTGTCCCCGAACCTTCATGGCCGCCATCGTCGGCAGGAGCAGCAGGTCAGCGTCTTCCCAGTGCTGGACCCCTCTCAGGCGTGGAAGGTTCGGATCCAGTCGACCCTGTGAGTGGAGGTGTAGAAGGGTTGCATGAATGGTACAAGTAAGACGGTTGAAAGCCAGGGGGTTTTAGCGCCGACCTTTGAGAAGGAATATGGTCCACACCTAGTAGCCCAAGTAGAAAATGGGGGATATAAAAGAGTATATATGAGGTTGGCTTGGAACCCAACCGAATAGGTGTGCCGAGTCTGCCCAGTTCCGGAAGCAAAAGCAGAAGGGGCGCTGGTGGGATTTTAACATCAACCAACCAACAACGTGACCGTACTCTTCTCAACTCCAATAACCACCCAAAATCTCTGGTGCTGGCAATGCACCCGAAATCTCTGTTGGCCATTTCCAAGAGGGCCCAAAATCGGTCACTCGTGAATTTTTCGCTGAGGCGCCCAGGCGCCTCATTCGGAGGATTCTGAGGCTCCAAAACCTCCACCCGCGGCCCAAATCAACAGGGCTCGGCCTGTTCGCCGGGTCCAATCTTCGCCAGTCGGGGAGATGGGAAGCCGAACTCTCCCATGACCACCCCAAAGAGTCGATTTGGCCTATCTAACTAACGGGTCATTGTTAGATGCCCCTTACAAAACCCTAGGATTGACTGATACTTGATCTATCCATTCACCTGGTCTTGGGGTGACGACTGACCTCATAAAGACCCCCAAGCATGACATGTCCTCAGCGCAAAAAGCGACCGCTCAGCGGTGTCGGCTCGCAGGAGCGCGTGGTGCCTCTGGCCAAGTGCGCGATCTATCGAAAAGCACCTAAGCTTCACTTAGCGGTGGCATTGGTATGGCGCTGTAAGAAGGACAGCCAAAAACACGCGACTCTTAAAGTTGGCCCCTGTGCCTGGCCCTTGGTCAGAGGACTGGGTGGCTCTAGTTCGGAGCGTTGCGAAGGGTTTTTCTGTAGAAAGGGTTTACATTACAAAGCTTCATTACTACATTTGAGATTTATATATTTGCAGATTGTAGGTATGCCAGAAGTACATTTGCAGCTTGCAGGTCTGTGTTACCACATTTGAAGTTCATCTGCAGCTTGCATTTGAGACTTTTATATCTGCGGAAGTAGGTACAGAAGTACATCTGCAGCTTGCTTCAGTAACATACCTTGCTGGATCTTGCTGCAGCAAACCACCTCGATGTCACTTTCATCTGGGCTCCACTGCCACCTGAAAACCCAGTCCCAGTCTCAGAAACACAATGGATGTGGAACCCCCAATCCCAGCCCCACAACCCATGTGAAGGGTCTCAAACCATCTCTAACTATATTTCTTTTAGGTTGGGACGACCCAGTCCTCTCTTGTCCAGGCTTCTAGAGGATGAGGTTAGGTACATCTCCAGAACCCTTCTACAGGCTCGACGCACGACTGGGCTCCAAACAGTCAACTCCACCCCCACATGACCCATCACCCTTGCCTTCGCTCAGGGGAGCCTCGCGTGAGATCGCCGGAACATGCGTGCCAAGAAGCGTCCAGCGTTCCCCAGAAAAGCGCGAGCATGCTTCTACCGGTGGTCGAAACAGAGGCGTTGGGGAAAAACCATCGATTGGAGGCTTAACTGAGCAGCCTTCATAGCAAAGAAATTCAAAACTTTGGAATCCTTCGACTCTTGGTGTGTCGGCCCAGCTTGGATACCGGGCCTCGTGCCAATGAACAGTAGGTTGGGATACGACTGAAACCATGGGGCATTTTCCGTTTGGGTGTGATGTCCCGAAAACCCCGAGTTTTGGTGGCAAAAACGGGTCGACCAATTTTCCAAATGAGGCCTTTCTGCCTTTCTTAGCTACTTTCCAAATCTGGACATATCGCCCTAGGTCCCTAGGTCCAATTCCAAAGGGGCAGATGAGTCCCTCGACCACCATGCGGGCACGCGTTTTCTTGCGGCCTGATGTGGGCCAGTGGTGTTGAGACATTCAGTGGCTCTAGAGGCGGAGTTGGGTGTAAGGCTCTGGAAGAAAGGATTGCCCCCAAAGCCGCAGTGATGGCCGAGCCTTTCAGACGTGTCTCGAGAATCCCCTTGATTGCAGATGGTTCACCCGGAAACCCCCACTCATCCGAATTAACACCAAGAAGTCTGGTTCCAACGTCCTGACAGTAGGGTGTTGCTGAAAAAGAAGGAAGCCGTGTCCTTCAACAACTTGATTTGGAACCATCACTGAAGATACAACTTGGAGGAAGTCGGGACGGCGGGGTGCTGTATATCTCACATCCACTCACGAGGATGGGACGAGCCTTTCCTCCACCCCGAAGAAACAGCTCTTCCCACAGCCCTCGCCAGCGGCCATGGCGCGCTGGCGCCTGCGGCTGGAGGACTTCGGGCGGCGCCAGGCGGGGTGTTTCGGAGACCGTCCGCGGGGTCCGTTCGAAGGGATTCGATCCGAGGAGGAATCACTGGGCAGCGGACTCTGTGAAGGTGGAAAAAGGTCATCACTGGCAACCAAGACATATTTAACAACCAGGTCGGTGCTCTCAAACGCTGTAGATAGACAGGTCCACCTCTTTTGAATGCGGGTGGAGACCTAGGGGCGGCGGACCGTCGGGGGCGACGGGCGACGAGATGGAACCCTTGGGAACCTGGGAACCGGAAATCGCTGTGGAGGCAGTGGTCATTCCATTTCTTTTTCCTACCGATGTTGTACTGGTTTTTTGGCATATACAGCAGGGCTTCTTTTTTTGCCGCACATGTCTCTCTGTGTGTGGGGTTGGACAAGCATCCAATCATTGCAACCTCACTGGTCGTATGTACGGTAACCGGTATGCTGGCTCGGAACCGGTCACTGCTTGGACGAACCGGTCGGCTTGGAACTTGGAGCACTTCGGTCACCAACAGCAGACGCTCCACCAGAGGCTCCCAACAGTGAGGAACTCAACCTCCCCCACCAAAACCATCGGAGGTTGACCTGGCCCAGGGTGCCCCAGGTGCCATGACCCAGCTGGCCAAGTTCCCCTGTCGCATCGCTGCAGGAGGGTCCTACTGCAATGAGCGAGGCCTGGCACCAACCGCGCTGGGCAGCCTGTGGGAAAGCCAAGGGAGGCCTGGCACTCGGCCGCATACGGTGCGGTGTGGGCGGTGAGGGAGATGGGGCGATGGAATCTGGAGAAGCCCAAACAGCTTGGCTTTGGATCTTGGATCTTTGGGCTTTGTGTTTTGCATTGGAAGATGGAAGGGTCCTCCAAAAGAGTACACTGAGTGCAGTTTGGAGTTCATGTCAGTCTTTGTTTTTTTTTTAGCAACAGTTGTTTGATGCAAGTGCCTTTATTTCTGGCTTGGTTCTTTCTTACAGCGTCTGATTAGGGCCATAGGGCCTAGTGCATGCTCCCACATCACTCAAAAGCCCACGCATGGGACTCGTGTGTTTGAAAACGCTCTGTCATCGGCTTCACACGCCACCCTGGGACTGGTGGAAATCAGCTCAATGGCACTCATGACCAGGCGATGACGCCGAGCGGCCGCTCAGCAGCATGTCCACCCGCTGCCCCTCCACGCGCGGCGCCACGCCCGCGCCGCCCGCGACGCCCGCGCTGACGCCGCGCACCGGGACGCCGGGCGCGTCGCCGCGCACGCCCAGCCCGATCCCACAGGCCCAGGGGAGGGTGAAGTAGGTTTCGACTTGGCTCGACGGCTTGGCTTCAAGAGGGAAGACCTTTAAGGTGTGGATTGGAGTCAAAAGAATGTGGGCTAGGAAATGCAGGACAGGACCAGGTGGTTTCTGTCACCAGAAAACACCTGTTGGAGGGTCCAGGTCCACCTTTTGTGAACTTCGATGGAGAAGTACACTTGGAGGGTCACGACGAACGCAGGGTCAAGAGGCTACCAGCAGTTCTTTGTCGGTGGGGTTTTCACTCCATGAGTGGATGTTCTGGACACCCCGACGCTGCTCGCTACTCTTGGAGCGGCTTTGTTTTCTTTGGAACACTGCAGAGACCTCCTCTGCAAACTAACATGGAACCGAATTGGCCGGTGGTTTCGACGAAGTGTCCTCTACAACCCAGTGGTTTTGGGGTTCGTGGTCCGAATAGCAGGGGACGATGGATCGAGCCCGGGCGCACCGCGGCTCCAACGCACGGCTCCAGGGGCTCTCAAGCCCGCCACCGCCGAGCGTCCGTGCAGGAGGGGTAGGGAGGAGGGGACGAGGAATCCGAAAGCGAGGTGGAGCGACCTCACGGACGTGGTCTGACGTGGTTTGTTTCTGGTGGTTTTCTGGTGTGGTTGGCTAGACTAGACTCCTTTTGAAAGAGATCACGTTTGCTAGGGTCCCATCCAAAAAAACCATGGACAAGTGGATCGAACATGGCATTTTTTGTCGTCTAACTCTCCTCAGACCAGCGTGGAAGCTGGCAGCATCTTCCCGTGGAAAAACCACGGAGTGCCACACTTCTTTCAAGATCTCTGGTTTTAATGCAATGTGGGTGCACAGTTCATGTGTGACGTCGAACAATCGGATCTGAAGCCAAGTCTGAGGGGGGTCCCGCTTTTAAAACCAGCCACAACACTTTGATCATCCATGGATTCTGGTCGGTTTTCTGTAGTGCTCAACTGCAAGATATGCCAATGGTAGTGAAAGTTGAATTTCTGGAACTTTCGCGGTTTGGAACGGGCCCCGTTCCAGTCTGGGAACGACTTTGGGCCTCGTGGCCCTACAACACTTTCCCCTCGCAGAGTGGTGGAGATGGGGCAGGAACTTCTAGGGCCAACTGCCCCCAACATTCTTGTTTATAATTTATAATAGCTTCTTGTTACTAGCAGTAAGGCCAGGAGCCCCTAGTAGGCTCCTAGTAGTAAGGCCAGGAGCCCCTAGGCTGGCCACTCTTGGCCATCAAATCTACCCGCTCCGCCTCTGGCGCCCCAGTTGGTGATGCTTGTCATGAATGAGTCATCCACGGGAAAAGAAAGGACAGCCCTTCTGAGAGCGGTCCACAGGCGAGTCACATGCGACCCGGTCATAACCCGTTTAGACTCGGTCGTTGTGTTCGGCCGCCCCTCCGGAAGAAAGAGGCGATGAGGGGTGGAGAGCTGTGGGCCGTCTACAGACGTCTCAGATTGGACTTGAAATCTTCATCAATGCTCCAGTTCCATCCAGTTCCCAACCTCCTCTCCCATCCAGTTCCATCCTCCAGTTCCATCCAGTTCCATCCAGTTCCCATACCTTTTTCGTATATATTTTTGGTGGTCCCAACCTCCTCTCCACAGCTTCAGGTGGCGAGCTGTGGGCGGCCCCTCGTTCCGGAACGACCGGAGAGAAGCGCCGGAACAGCGGAGGCGAGCTAGGCGAGCTGGGAACGCCCCGGGACGTTCGTGAGCCCGGCCGCGGAGAGCACGGGAGAGCCAGTCTTTTTTCGTGAGCCCGGCTGGGGGCAGGAGGAGACGGTTTGTTGATTGGAGGTAGGGTAGTCATAGTCTTAATGAGCACCTTCGGACCTTCCAACAGATGGCTTTTGGATTCTCTAAGAGGCTATATATAATAGATGCCTCTTGGAAGGTGCTGGATGGTTGGATGGTGTGGACGCCTTTTTGGAAAATGGCTGGAGTACGAAAAGGAGCTACGAAGGTCCCTTGAGTGGGGTGGAGTTTCTTTATTAGGTTTCGGTTGCGAAGCCGGAAAAGGAAGGGTTGAAACCATTGCCTTTTTGGCAATGCACCAGGTCGTATCTCTGTTAGAGGAGGATTTTGATGGTGCAAACCTATTGCAGCGGGGCGTCTGCCTGTCCTTTTTGACACTCATCTCCCAGCCTGATACCCTTGGCTAACTGGACTTTTGTTCTTAAGACTTAAGACATACACGGTGGGGGGGCAACGGGAACGACCTCCATACTCAAACACAGCGGAACAAGATGCTCAATCTTCCTTCAGGACCTTGTTTTTGACCTTTGAAAAGGATTTGTTCCTGAGCTTTTCAAGCCAAAGTGACCTCAGGTATCTCAGGTCACGACGACGACGACGGTCCCACGGGCCAATGCCGTGCCCACCTGGCCCAGGCCCTTTGCCGACGACTTACAGCATACGACCTGAAAATATGGGTGCAGGCGACCGTTGGTATACACTGCGTTGTTTGAACCGGATCATGGACTACGAGAAAGTAGGACGGATGTCGCGGCTACCATGGGTTTTCCAGCTTTGAGTTTCGGTTTTGACCCACCACCAACCACATGGCAAGTCTTTCTTGGGTGGATTTGTGCGTCACTTACCGATCGTTTGGATTGCTCCCTCACCCAAAACCCTGGCTAATTTCAACTCAAACTGTGTTCCAATGTCCAACGATGTTTTCTTTTTTGGGGATGCTGGGTCTGGGTCATTTTGGATGGTTTGCGGGAGAACTCGTCTTGGTCTATCCACATGGCAGAGCCAGCGGCCGGCTTCAGCACGAAGTCGCGACCTCTGTGACCTCCAAAAGGATGGGATTTGTTGAATGCTTTCCTCGAGACCTGGTCTTCCTCATGATTTTGGAGGCTTTAGCTGTTGGGCTGAGCTCAACGAGAGGACCGCGT